CTGTTTTATGGGTAAGTTTATTCCATTCACATTTACAGCTATGATAACTATGTATTTCCCTCCATCCTATTTTCCCCTTGTTTATCCTTCTTTTTCTCTTACCTTTCACCCCTTCCCTCCTCATAAGTGTTTTAACTCTGATCACCACCTCCCCCAATTGATCCTCCCCTCTATCAGTTCCTAACTACTCCCCTCCCCCCTTCTCTTATCCTCATCTCTTTTTACTTCACTATAGGGTAAGATAGAGTTCTGTATCCAACTGAACATGTGTTATTCCCTCTTTATAAGTCAATTTTGATGAGAGTAAAATTCAAGTGTTGCCTTCCAACACCCCCATCTTCAGCTCTTTTCAATAGCTCTTTCATGACTTTTTTATGTGAGATAATTTACCCCATTCTTACTCTTCCCTCTTCTCCCAGAGCAATCTTCTTTCTCACCCTTTAATTTTTTGGGGGGGGGGAATAACATCCCATCATAGTCATCTCATACCCATACCCTCTGTCTATGCCCTTAGAGTGATAAAGTTCTTTTTTTTCCATCTATGTTATATTTTTATTTTATAAAACATTTCCCAATTACATTTTAATCAGGTTCAGACTGCACTCAAGAGTTTTGAAGTTTGCTACTAATAGCCTCTACCCTGACCTAGAGCACTAAGAGGTTAAGTGACTTTCCCAGGGCCATATACCAACATGTGTCAGAGATAATACCATGATCTCAGGTCTTCCTGGCTTCAAAGCCAGCTCTCTATTCATTACTATGTATAGAATAAATATAGATATTTTTAGCATAATTCTTTCTTAAAAAATTAATTTTTTTTGTTTTCAATATTCACTTTTATAAGATTTTGAGTTCTAAATTTCTCCCCTCTCCCTCACCCCCTCCCCAAGATGGCAAGCAATCTTATATAGGCTATACATCTACAATCATATTAAACATATTTCTAGTGATAAAATTCTCAAGAATTACAAATATCATCTTGCCATGTAGGAATATAAACAGTTAACCTTATTGAATCTTTTATGTTTCCCCTTTATTGTTTCTTTTTTACTGTTTTATGTTTCTCTTGAGTCTTATATTTCAAGATCAAATTGCTCTAGTCGTTTCATTAGGAATGCTTGAAAGTCTTCTATTTGAGTATCCATTTTTCCCCCTGAAGGATTATACTGTTTCACTGGGTAAGTGATTCTTGGTTGTAACCCTAACTCTTTTGCCTTCCAGAATATCACAATATAAGCCCTTCAGTTCTTTAATGTAGAAGCTGCTACATCCTGTGTAATCCTGCCTGTGGCTCCATGATATCTGAATTATTTCTTTCTTGCTTGCAGTATTTTCTCTTTGACCCAGGAGCTCTGGAATTTGGTCATGATATTACTGGGAGTTTTCATTTTGGGATCCCTTCTAGATGGTGATCGTTAAATTCTTTCAATTTCTTTACTCCTCTGGTTCTAGGATTTCAGGACAGTTTTCCTGGATAATTTTTTTGAAATATGATGTCCAGGTTCCTTTTTTGATCACTGCTTTCAGGTAGTGCCATAATTCTTAAATTATCTCTCCTAAGTTGCTTTTCCAATGAGAAATTTTATATTTTCTTCAATTAAAAAAAATTTTTTTTTTTTATCATTTCTTGATGTCTTATGGAGTCATTAGCTTCCAGTTACTCGGTTCTAATTTTTAAAGAATTATTTTCTTCAGTGAACTTTTGTACCTTCTTTTCCATTTGGCCAATTTTATTTTTTAAGGAGTTATTTTCTTCAGTGAGTTTCTGTATATCTTTTTCTATTTTTTATGTTTCTTTTTACCAAGCTGTTAACTCTTTTTCATGATTTTCTTGCATTATTCTCATTTCTTTTTCCCAATTTTTTTTCCTACTTCTCTTATTTGCTCTTTAAAATCCTTTTTAAGCTCTTCCAGAAGTTCTTTTTAGGCTTGAGACCAATTTGCATTTTTCTTTGTGGCTTTGCATATAGATAGGACTCCTGCCTCTTCTGAGTTTGTGCTTGGATCCTCCCTGTCACCTAGTAACTTTCTACAGTCAAGTTCTCTTTTTGCTTTTCTTTGCTCATTTTTTTCTGCCTATTTTGTGACTGTACTTTTATGTAAGAGTTGGGCTCTACTCCTGCATTGTCCCAAGTTTCTTTTGCTGTGCTCAGGGCCTTGATGCTGGCTTTCACTGGGCTTCAGGGCTTAGTTTCTGGCCTGCATTGGATGGTGCCTCCCTGCTGTCCTGTACTGGGTGCAGCACCTTCCTGTTGGACTGCCCTGGGAGTAGAGTCTTGTTGCTAGCCTGCCCCAGGGACAGGGTCTTGCTGTTGCCCTGTTGCAGACATGGGCCATCACTTCTGGCTTGTTATGGAGACAGGGCCTCACTGCTGGCTGGCCCTAGGGGTGGGGTTTAACTGCTGGTCAGCAGTTAATGAGGGCAGGGGCTCACTGGTGTTCTGCACTGGGGTTGGGTCCTCACTGTGCTGCTGGTTTGATATTTCTGACTTGCCTCTAGGTTTGCTGGGTTGCACAGAGGCAGAGCCTCGCTGGTGGTTTACCCCAGGGCTCAGAGCCTTACTGCAGACACCCTGCAATGGAGCATGCCAACCCCACTCCCCTCCTACCCCAGGGAGATAGACCTTTACTACTGTGCTGAAGTTGCTTCCCTGCTCCTAAATCAGTTCTGAGGTGTTTTTCAGGATTGTTTGGAGGGCTCCAGGGAGTTCCTTCTTTACTCTACTATCTTGGTACCAGAATGTGCACACCCTTTGACCTAGCAATACCACTACTAGGTCTATACCCCAAAGAAATCAAAGAAAGAGAAAAAAAAAACATACATATACAAATATTTATAATGGCTCTATTTACAGTGGCAAAGAATTAGAAACAGAGTGTGCCCATCAGTTTGTGAATGGCCGAACAAGTTACAGTTTATGAATATGATGGAACACTATTGTGTTATAAGAGATAATAAAGGGGATAGTTTCAGAGAAACCTGGGAAGATTTATAAGAAGTGACGCATGGTGAAATGAGTAGAACTAAAACAATTTATTGTTCAGTAACAAAAACAACAATATTGTAGTGACAGTCAACTTTGAAAGATTCGGGATTTCTGATCATTATAAGCAACAACCATGATTCCAGACAACTCATGAAATAGGCTACTTACCTCCTGACAGAGAGGTGATACATGTGGTGTACACACTAAGACATCATTATTTTTTCGGACATGACCAATGTGGGAATTTGTTATTCTTGACCATAAATTTTTCTAATAGGAATTTTTTCTTTTTTGAATTCTCGATATTGGGCAAGGGAGAAAGTGGGAGACATAAAAGGTGGATCTTCAAAAATAATTTTTTTTTTTTTGGTTAGGCAATGGGGTTAAGTGACCTGCCCAGGGTCACACAGCTAGTAAGTGTTATGTGTCTGAGGCCGGATTGGAACTCAGGTCCTCCTGAATCCAGTGCCGGTGCTCTATCCACTGCACCACCTAGCTGCCCCCAAAAATAATTTTAAAAAAGAAATTGGCATCTTTACATGTTCCAAAAGATATTTTTAGGGGCAGCTAGGTGGTGCAGTGGATAGAGCACCGGCCCTGGATTCAGGAGGACCTGAGTTCAAATCCGGCCTCAGATACATAACACTCACTAGCTGTATGACTCTGGGCAGGTCACTTAACTCCAATTGCCCTCACCAAAAAAAAATAATAATTTTAAATTTGATCACATTTGGCCATAATGAAAGATTATCTAAGTATAATGGAATATTAAGATTTTTGTCCCTTAATGAATACCTGACTATCATTATTTTCAATTACTGGAAGATTTTTGATTTTCAGAAGTATGTGATAGAAATACTATTTTCATAGAGTTTATTTGTTTTTGAAGTCTGTGAACTGCAAATAGATTTTTTTTTTAAAAAGCAATTGGGGTTAAGTGACTTGCCCAGGGTCACACAGCTAGTAAGTGTTAAGTGTTTGGTCTGAGGCCATATTTGAACTCAGGTCCTCCTGACTTCAGGGCTGATGCTCTATCCACTGTGCCACCTACATGCCCCTAGACTTCCTTTTTTTTTTTTAGTGACATTATTCAAGTCTCTAGTTAACCATTTCTACCATTTCCATACTAATCTGAATGTCTTTTCTTTTAGGTACTCAACAGTGGACAATTTCTTCACAGCATTTAAAGCCTAGCACGACTATCTAGTTGTATAAAAGAGTTAGAAAAGGGACAATATTGCTCTCCTTTGCTTTTATAAATAATTCCAAAAGTGACAAAAATCCATGAAAATAGTTCATCCCAATTTAAAACTTCGTAGCACTGATAGAAATCATCTATGAATAAAAATGCTATTTATAATATGACCACCATTAATATGTATCTCAGTTTGTTTTGCTTCCAATAATAGTGATACTCAGTGGTACTAAATACACAGTAGATTTAAAATTTTAAACAGTGCTTGCCTTCTTGATTTGTTTACATTTATCAAATGCCAATGTATGTTTAAAGGACAAAAGTACAGATATTTGTGTAGGTAAAAGTTATAATTTTTTTTAAACAAAGGCCATGCTCTAGATTGCTCATAATGCTCATGTTAGATACATGAGTTATACTCCCTATACTACACTCAACTCTGTAGGCATTTCATTCTGTACTAAAAAGATGGTTCAGGAAGGCATGATTTACTGAAGTGTTTATGTTGTTTCATTTTTACTAGTCAACATTTAAAGGACAAAGAGAATTTCTACAGAGTTAGTTTCCTTCATTGTTCTGGACCTTGGAAGATGTTTTATTCTCCAACAGATGCCTTGGGGCCTTTGTTGCAACACAGGAGACTTGGTATACGCCAAAATAGATAAGTTATGCCACAGACAGCAGGATTTTCTGGCATTAGGTATATGTACTCTCTTAAAAAGTGTTACTAGAAGGTATCCCTTGCTATGCCCCGCTGTGTGCTATGCCCTTGGCAGCTGTCCACCCTGCCTCACCTCCTGATCACTAAGACACAGTACCTGTGTGACTGGACAGTAGTGATGAAGAAGGTGAATATTACGGAAATGAGCAGCCCAACGTCCAGTCCCAAGCAGATCACCGACAGAAATGTCACTATCCAAATCACCTTGGAGGAAAAGAAGAGGGAGGAAGGAAGACAATGAGGAAAACATGACACAGATAATCACCTACGATAGCTCCTACGTTACATTATAGACTTGGAGAACTGGAACTGGACCTACCTCAGATGTCCATCTAGTGTAAATTATTTATATTAATTTGGGCCACAGAAGTGAACTTACCTGCCTAAGGTTACAGTGCCAGGATTAGAATCTGGTCCCTTGACTCCTCATCTATTGATCCTTTCATTTTGCTAAGTCTCCTATGAGGGCCAGGAGTCCTTGAAGTCCAGAAGACCTGGGTTCATGTAATGGTGTGATTGAGGGCATGCCTCTCAGTGCCTCCAGGTCAGTCATAAAATGATATACTGGAGTTGCTCCTTGGCATCATTACAGGAAGTTTTCATCCAAGGAGTTCCTAACAACAGTGAAATCACAGGTCCAGACCCAAAGAATTTTTTTTTCATTTAGGCAGTTGGGGTTAAGTGACTTGCCCAGGGTCATGCAGCTAGTAAGTGTCAAGTGTTTGGTCTGAGGCCGGATTTGAACGCAGGTCCTCCTGACTTCAGGGCTGTTGCTCTATCCACTGCACCACCTAGCTGCCCCTAGACCAAAACAATTTTAAACTATAATTTGTCACTGCTCCAGCAAATAATTCTTAGTCTTGTGCTAGAAAATAACTTTCTATAAACACTCAGTGTGGCTATGTCTTATTCTTTTATTTCTCTTATTCTCTCTTTCCTCCTTCCACCTTCTTTCCTTCTCTATTCCCTCTTGGTGAAAAAGGAACAACTCAGGCAGTGAAACATGGAAGAAGGCACCATGAATTGGTGGTCAGAATATCTTGGCTAAAATCCCTGCTCTGCCACTAGCTAGCTGTGGGAACTTGGTCAAACTACTTGACCCTTCTGGGCTTAGTGTTCTTATCTGCAAATGGATGGAATTGGATTAAAAGCCCTCTAAAGAACTTTATAATTCTCAGATGCAATAAGTGTATATTCTCTTTGAACAATTTATGTAGCACTTCAAGGTATGCAAAGCACTTTCCCCAGGCCCATCTTGTGAGGTAGATAGCACAGGTAGACATGGAGGATTTAAAGGTGGAAAAGAGCATCTAGTTCAAAATCCTTAGCTAACAGATAAGAAACTAAGGAACAGAGAGATCATGAGACTCCTCCATGGTCATATAGACAGGTCAGTAGCAGAGCAGGACTTGATTTTAAATTCAATCCTATTTCTCACAATAGCTAGGGACATCCTAGACTCCTACTCAACATCTGTAACCTACTGACACTGCAGCTTGGGTTCCAATGATGGTTGAAGTGAGGGCAGAGTGCATCAGGCAGATGATCTGTTAGTTAGTGTACTCTGGGCCTCACTCTTACAACCATGTTCTGTTGGTAGCATGTCTTACCTACTCTGGAATGTGGTTACACTGATTAAATCTGAGTATTTGTACAAATTGTCTGTGTCATGCCTTTCATGTTAGATTTAAATACAGCTGCTCTGATTTTAAACACATATCTAGTTTGTGATATTTGTAGTGAGGGCTCAAGCAAGGGTATACAAATCAATTTTGTGAGGCCTTTCCCCTTCCTTTTCTCCCACCACTGCATCACTGTACTATTTGAAAGATTTTATGGTCCTCTTTAAAATGAGGGCTTGGATCTTTCGTCCACTCTCTTTTCCTTATTTATTTTTACTCTTCAAAATACCTTTTAACCCTTTATCTGCCCTACCCTTTCTATGCTGATGCTAGGACACTTACAAAGTCATACTGGTTCTGCTTCCACAGATCAGGAAGGTCCATGATGGTTGAAAGGAAGGGCAAGACATTGCTTAGAACGATACCAGCCAGTACAGCCTGTTGGGAAGAATGGAAATTCTACTCAGTTTGCTTCTCCTTCAGTGGTGAAGCCCCAGCTCCCCACATGGAAACTTGCAAGAGGAGAATGATAAATGCCATTCAGATATATTTCATGTAAGTATAAGATTTAAACTTCAAAGTACACCTTCACTGAGTGTTCAGATTGCCTCTGTGTTTCTCAGCTCTAGGCTACCTACATTTTTTAGAGACTATCCTTTGGATGAAGTATCAATTTTTAGAGAAAGCCCATTCACAGAAACTAGTTTCAATTCCTCTTTTATTTAAATTAAATGACCACAAAGATACCATCAATATCTAAGAGTAGAACAAAGCAAATATTTTAAGCAAATATTTTCTTGTCTTTATGATATCCCTTGGTTGGCTTAACATTTCTTTCCCTTTTCCCAGTTTCATCTCTCCTGCACATTTGGCCCAGAAACAAGAGTCAATTTTACTACCATCAATAGCTATAATCACAGGTTTTCCCAGAGCCCTCAGATGACCAGGAATACAGGGTAGGTAAGTAGCATTATTAAAAAACAGAACACGCACACACACACACACACACACACACACACACACATGCATGCATATATTTGTAGAGGGAATTTGTAGAGGGAAAGTACATAAAGAAGATAGAGCACTCCATCGAGAATTTGGCCTGGAAAGGGGAAGAACAGGGACCTTCACTGATCCTCTTATAACAGACAATGTCCCTGGCTATGGTCTTCTATAAAGGCACCTTCGCACAGTGTCTGGCACATAGCAAATGCCTGTTGATTATTTCAGATACCTACAGTCTTTCAAGAGGCCAAGGTATAGTCATCACTGAATTTAATACAATAGAAGTTCAATGTACCTGACTTATTAGATTAATTCGAATATACCAAAGGCCAAATGATATCCCTCAAACAAAACACTGCAACTAGACAAAGTGAAAGTTTGATATAGCACGGTGATCTTATAAAGTGGGTGGTGTCCTATGTTTAATATCACCATTGCCAAGGAATTTTTTTAAAGTAATGTACCTCAGTGAATCCCAATAAGTGTTTCTTTGGTATCGTGCTTCTTACAACCAACTATTGCTGTTAAAAATAAATTATCTACTTGTCCCATATTGCATAGAAAAAAAAAGTTTGGCACCGAAGATGGCAACAGAAGTTGAATTGCAAAGATGACTTGGGAATTTAGGAAATAAACAGTGGTAAGAATGAGTTCAGTTTTACCTTCCTTGTATTGCTACGAAACAAAATTATCTCAAACAGTGAAACATTCATGTTCCCTCAAGACCTACATGTCTTTCAGTTACAATAGGTCATAGATAGACAGCAAAGAAAACTTCCCTGGCCCATTCTAATGTGCAGTTCACTAGCTGGAACTGGCTGATTCAGCTTTGTTTAGTTATAATTTGAAGAAGTACTGCTAACATTCACCACCACTTCAGTGTTGCAGCCAAGCTATTATGGCTATAAACATAGAAATATATACATACACACACAGAGCCTATAAATGAAGTAAATGAGGGCATTGCTATGAGAATTATCATACATTTTAACTATGTTAGGAGAAAGAAGAAAATCAAAGGATGGATAGGATCCCTGCTTGTGATACAGGGGAATAATAATGGATAAAAGAAAGATGATAGAAATATTCATCTTATTTTGCTTTAGTTTTCTCTATCAAGGATAATCCTTGAGAAATACAGAATGAAAATGGTTAACAAGGAATTGAAACCAAACATAAGTGAGACAGTTGGCTCTCAATGAGTTCAAATCACCTCATCCTACGTCCCAGGGCACTGAGAGAATCCAACAATCACTGAGTTGCTATTGATAATCTTTTGAGGAACTGTGGCAAGTAAGAGGTGCAAAGTAGGCAAATATTGTTCCAATTTTCATAAAGGGGAAAAGGATAGATAATTTAAATGGATACCTATAAATTGGTATCAATCCCTGGTACAATTCTAGAGCTGATTACAATAACTATCATTATATTATTATATGCATTATTGAGTTACACATAAGATAATATCATAATCATCAATTTCTAGTAAAATTATAGAATGGATGATTTGTGAGCATTTAGAAAAGTATTGACATGGATTTATTAAAACCAAGTCATTGTTCATTAAGAACAAGGAATTCCTATACAGGTATAAGCTGAATTATTCAATATCTGAGCTCCCCTAAAACTGAAATTCTGATTCTGTGAAGTTATGATAGACCAAATTAGTTTCCTTTCTTGACAGGGCTCATATAGATTTCAAAGCTCTAGAGCTAGAAGGGGCCTCAAAGCCTCTCTATTCCAACCTCTTTATTTGATGGACAAGAAAACTGAAGGAGAGGTAAGCTAAATAACTTGCCCATAGTCACACAGGGAGAAAAGCATTAGGGGCAGGATTTAAATTAAAGTCCTCCGATTCCATAGCCAGGGCTCTTTCTACTACAGCACATTGATCAGGAAAATCATTTAAGAGGCATATTATATTTAGATTTCAACAACACATTTGACAGAAATCTTTCATGTTATTCTTCCAGAAAAGATGGAATAACGAAACCTGGATAATAGTACAGTTATGTAGACATGAAACCGTTTTGTTAATCAATAATGTTGATTAATAAATTAATGTTATTTATAGGTTGGTCTCTAAAGGAGGTCCCTAGGCTATTCAAATTTTTATTGATTAATTAGATGAAAGCTTAGATAGCATGCTTATCAAATTTTCAGATGACATAGATCCTGAAGGAATAGCTAATACATTAGCTGGAAGAGTCTTGATCCCAAACGAATGATAAATGTCAAGTCCTGTACTTGCATTAAAAATCTACTTTATATTTATAGGATGAGGAAGACATGGATAGAAACTAGGTCATGTGGAAGACCTAGGAATTTTAGTGAATTATAAGCTCAGCAGTGTGACATGACTGTAAAACAAACAAATAAACTAACTAACTAATGTAATACTAAGCTGAATTAATGAAAGCATAGTAGTCAGAGTGAAGGAAATAACAATCCAAGCTGTGCTCTGTTCTCATTAGACTATATTGCATCTGGTTCTTGGTTCTACATTGTAGGAGCAATAGTATCAAACAAGAGCATACACAGAGGAGAGAGACCAGGATAGTGATGGTACTCCTGGGGAGAGGGGAGAAAAGATTTAGCCTAGAGAACAAAAGACTAGAGGGGGAGGAAGTAAGGAGAAAGAGGAGGGACAGACATGATATCTAGGTCTGAATAAAAGAACAGCACACATGTGGGAAAGGGATTAGATTTATTCTACTTAGACCCACAGTGTTGAATCAATGGGCAGAAATTAATAGGAAGATAAGGGAAAACTTCCTCACAATTAGAACCATTCAAAATGGAATGGTTTGCTTCATATGCTTTAGCACTGGAGGCTAGATGACCATTTGTTAGGAATATTCTAAATGGAATTCATACTCTGGGTAGAAGTTAGTCTTGACTAGCTTTGAAATCCTTCAAACTGTGAAATTCAGTGATTCTCTGATGTTATTATGTGAAACAGATTGCTTTGTGTCAACAATTAATCTACCATGGATCCCTAGGAGGCCAGCCCTACATAGAGGTAAGAAATTATGTGTCTAAATCTTGGGACATTAGTGTTAGACACAAGATTAGATCTCAATTTACATTTCCAGTCTCTAGCTTGTGCTCTAGTCTAGGACAGCAAGCTGGTTTATAGCTCATTATCAAACATGTAGCATGAAGACTCCTTAAGACAGCTTATGGACTCATGGCTAATATTTAAACCTGTGTTGGTACTGAGAGAATTTACAGTTACCCCACCCTTGACTGCACAGCTGAAACTACACAGAACACCCAGAGCAGATCATAACCATCCCAGGGAGCTGCCTAGCTATGTTCTTACCTAGACGGAAATTTCTGGCACATAGGTATTTTTAACTCATTTTTTCATTGTATATCTTTGTAACTATTTCCTTATAAAACAGCCTATATACCTCTAGCTGGAGAGAGACTCAGTTTTCTGGCTCTTCTCAGAATGTCCCAACTGCTCTTCACTCTGTGGCACAATCCTGTGAAATTTCCTTGATAGTACCTGGGATTCTGGCATTTTGATGACATTTATATATTATCTTTCCCCATTAGAAGGTATGCTCTTTGAAGGCAGGAACTGCTTTCTTTCTGCTTGTATTTGTATTCTCTGTGCTAAGTATAGTGCCTGACACATAGTAATTGTTTAATAAATGCTTTCTGACTGACTGATTAAAATCTTGTAATTTCTATTTAAAATATTAGCCCATGCTGGAATATCAGAGAAGGAAAATGAGACTGACTATTGTATCCACAGAAGCACAAGTTACAAAGCATTACTTTTTGGGAAATGTCCAATGAAGGTACAATTGTGAGAGTTTGTCATTCTGGTTTAAGTACTCATTTGGTTCTATGCCCTCTCACTTACGTTAGGCAGAAAGTAGAAATAATGACCCATCTTCAGCATCACCAGCAACGTTATACCTGCACCTACCAGAGCTGCAAACTGAGCAGAAAGAGTAGATTGAAGAGAAAAATGACCAGGAAGTACCCAGCCCCTGGCCCACTAACATTGGCCTTCTCCTGGGGTTATTATAGAAGTGCGTCAGTTTTTCCTAAGAGGATTTGTGAGTGACCATATACCACAGACAAGATATGAACTCATTCCACCAGTAACCTATGGCACATATTTGCAAGGTCCAGGTACAGAATGGGTGCTTGAGGAATACTTGTGGCACAAATAATGAATATGTCTTCACAAATCTTATTTTCCAAATCCATGAATCTTTGTGCCCACAAACAGCCATTTACTATCATCAAAATCTGCTAAATGGCTGCCTAATTCCTTTACAATCTTGTTTCTACTATTGTATTTTAGAAAGATTCAAATAAATTCCTTACTGGCAGCTCTAATTTCCCTACCTTGGTTGTGATTTCTAAACCTGGTTACTCAAAAACACCCACAGTGCAAACTGATAAAAGAAGCAGGTGGGTCAAGGGCCAGTGTTCTAATAGACTTTTGGGGTTCAATTATAATTATATAAATATAAGGTATTATCATACTTATAATACATATTTACATACATAAAATATGCCACAATTTAATAAATAACTGTTGAAAGAATGAAGGATATGTTTTAAGGTCATCTAGGAACTCATCTTTTGAATTGTCATTTCCAGCTCTTACCCCAAATATTTTCTTTTATTTCCAAAGTTGTACACAACTCGTTCCATTTGCTAGAAGGCACTGCCTTCTTGGCCTGCCTCCCATTCCACCAAACTTCTTTCTTTTCACTTATAATTCATATGTAGGCAGTCCTTGACTCACAAAGGATCTGTATTTTTTTTAAGGTGCAGAGAAAAAGAAGTCTACCTCTGGTGTTCCCATCTACCAATTTTTCTCCAATTTAAAATACATGAAAAATGATAGATCTTGAGAATTACTTGTCCTAACATAGAGATACCTTCTTTCATGCACACAGATTTTCTATGTTGCTAGTACCCAGGAATACCTATCCACCTTACTCTTACATCAGACAGACTGCTTGCCTAGCTTCCTACTTGAGAAGCCCTTATGAAGGTAATTCTCCATTCTGTCGAGAAAGGAAGCAGGACCAGAATCTGTACTAAGATACTCCCTAAAATGCATTTTCCCAGAAAAATTATGTTAAAAGTGCTGGCTTGGTATAGTTGAAATAATACTATTAATATCATCCTTCGTGTCTGTTACAGTTTAAACGTCTTTTTGGAAGACAGACTGGAAATCATCATTTATAACATTGGTTCTATGGGATAATTCTTTTGGAGAATGCAAACAAACAACCAACAAAGTTGGGGAGCACAACATGCTCATAAACTGGATACTGCTTGGAATTCAAATTGTTCCATGAAGTCTTTCCCAGCCAAGTGGAATATTGATGTTATCAGATTCAGGTCTTCAATAGTGATCCCAATATAGTATTTTCAACAAATGTATCTAAATAGTATAAACAGTTTTGCATACTATTAGGAAAATTCTATTCTAACTAAATTCAAGGCATGTATATGTATTATTGTATTTATTCTTGTTAGTGGTCCAGATAGAGGATCTCTAGGAAACACCCAGTGTGAAAACTCTTCTGACTAAGGCTTGACTGCCAACTCTTCTGTAAATTAGTCTTTATTTTTCATTATTTTTTTTAACATTTCTTTTTTTTTTTTAGTTAAAGATTGTCTCCCTCCTTCCAGCTGTTCCCCCACCCATTGAGAAGGCATTATATATATGAAGACATGAAAAACATATTTCCATATAAGCCATGTTGTGACATTATCCATGCTGTAAGAGAGTTTCCTGGGGCAGTGAGAGGATTTGCTCCCATTCACGTAACTATTATATGTCAGACGCAGACTTAAGACCAGGTCTTCATGATTCCAAGGTTGGAAATTATGCTGCCTCTCTCAAAATTATTATTATTACAAAGGAATTCACTATATTAAGTATTACATGAAAAAAGTTGACCATTGCTTTTACTTGGAAATTTTTCTATTATGTAGACACTTTTATTGTATAAAAAGACAGGCAATGTATAAAGATTTGAACTATAATACTACATATATTTTCTAGCAGTTTTCTTTTGAGCTGTCTTTTACATACTGTAGCAACACCATTTCCTCCTTCTCTAGACTCCTAGCCGTGTAGTCTTTCAATATAAGTTGACTTGAACCTGAGAGTCACAAAACAACAACCAACCCCCCCCCCAAAAAAACTACTTACTTACCTGTTGTCTCCCACCTGATTTCTCTTGGATGACTGTTCTGGCAATAGCAGAAGTAAACACAAAAGATTTGAAAAATGAGCTGACAAGATTGCACAGGCCAATGGCTACCAACTCCTGTAAAGCAATTGTAAATACCTTCAGTCCCATCCATTGTCTCCAAAGTCTGACCAGCTTTGGATATAAGGGGGACAAAGAAATGAAAGCAGGAAGAAAAGACAGAAGCTCTATTTTATACATTGTAGACACATCTTCTGGCTTATGAGGCCACATCAATACTAAGGGAAATAATATCCAAGTAACTTCATAGTAAAGTAGTCCCTTGTCTTTCAAAAATGCTTTAGTAGTAATATTAAGGTATTTTCTGTTAAATGCTACTGAACAACTCATATTGACTCCATAGACAACAGAGACAAATGTCCTCTAGACATTAGGGATCCAGAAGTGAACCTAAGTATATTTTCTGAAAGAGAACAGTCTGGTTTTCTGAATGACAAGATCAGAAAAGAGGCCAAGGATTTATGAGCCAAGCATTGTTAGAGATGGGTCTGTGCTCTCACCTGGTTAGGATTGATTCTGTAGTTATGCAAGGAAGCAATCTTCTTGCCTATAAAGTTGAGCAGAATGTAGCTTACCACAGACAGGGAAAGGGCATGGCAAATAACATAGTGCAAGAGCCCAAACTCAGCTGATTCAGGATACAGGAAACTGCAAAAGAAAAGAATTGGAAGATAAGAAACTTGGGTTCCAAACACAGTTTCACCAGAAGATAACAGATGACGTTGGAGACAAGTCAGTTACTGTCTCCTCATGCCTGAGATTCCCTATCTATAACTTTAGGTCACCAAACACTCAGTGCCAAATGCTATATGTAAAGTGTTTTAAAGACCTGACATGTACTGTCCAGATGGAAGAATTTTGAAAACAAACAAACCCCTATTTTAGTTATACCACCAAGTTAAAAACTAGGTCTACAGTTATGTTGTGAAAGACATGGAAAGGAGACTATGTAAATGCCCACCTCCACCTCTCTCCTTGACATTCAATCATTACTCTCTGAATGACCTAGTACTTTGATCTAGGAGAAGCACGATATAAAGATGGAAATGAGAAAATTCAAAGTAGAGTTTCAGCTTTTCCTCTCACTCCAGAGAGAAGAGCTTATTTTTTCTCTGGGATTTTTATAAATTTGGGATAACAATATCTACTTCACAAGGATTTAGCGAAGCTAAAATGAGATAGTTTTATGTAAAATGAAATGCCACAAACATAAAGAGTGCTATGACATTCTCTGGGGCATAATTAAATTTATTTAATTTAAAATGTTTTTTCAATTAACAAGCATTTATTTTGTCTCCCTCTGACCTTCTCTTTACACTTCCCTCCCCAATTGGAGAAAAAGAAAATTAAAACCCTTCTAACAGATATGCATAGCTAGGCAAAAGAAATTCCTACATTGGCCAAGATCTATCATTTTCAGTGAAGGATATTTTATAAATACACAATTGATCTTAATTATAATTACCATCAAGTTTTCAAAGCTAGATGGGAGGATCTCTAGAGACATGTTTGAGGAGCAAATAGATGAACTGTGCCTCAAAAGACAATGGTAATTCCATGTATGGAATTTTGCAAGTAGGCTACTTGATCCTAAATGACTATTTTTAATAACATGGGATATTGTTCCCAAGGTTCAAACTTGGAGTAAGACTTTAAGTCTAATTTCTTAGTGTTTTTATTTCTGTAAACTGCTAATAAAAGTAAATCTTTTAAGTGTCTTGAAAATAAATACTGTTTCATTAGAAAAATGAAAATGCCTAGATATTTATGCTCATGATTTTTTCTCTATACCTCCAGCAAGTTCAAGTATATCTAACTTTATAAAGTAGTTGTACTCCTAAGATGTGGAAAAAATCCAATTTTAATAAAGTAGATTATATTTTATATATCACCCTTCTGAAGGACTTTCCAGTAACTACTTGTAGATTGGGTTCCCCAGAAGACTACTACCCCAGATTCAAGGTATTCTGTTGGTCCACACTCTTAAAAATAAAGTTCACAAGCTCCAACCAATATACTTACCTTTCTTTAGTTAACCAGAGGATACAATTATCTCAAAACAAAAACACTTACTGAAATGGCACAGTAAGAAATAAAACATCTCTCCCATAAACCTAAGGTACAAATATATCCAGAATCAGTGGAAAGAATTCACAGAGAGGTACAAACATAGGGAATAAATATGGCCATGGCACATGTATGAAAAGAGGAGTCAATGAAACCTCCAACAATGCAGCATTGCTGATGTCTTCTTGTATAGTCCTCTTACTGTTCCCTGAGGGGCTTTGCATCTCTGTCGGGTGAATTGTTCCATTGGGCCTCCTGGGCCCATTCCTGGACTGAGTGTGTGGCTTTAATCATCAGGTATGGCTTCCACAATCTCTTTCTCTGGGCTCACCAGAAATTCTGGCCTAGAGTACTGTTGTTCACTTTTGGAAAGAATCAGAACTGATACCCTAAGACCAGAAGGAATCTTGGCTCTCTGCCTACCATCTTTCTGAGCAGGATCCCAGGTCCAGGTACTGGACTCCCAACTCTTTGATAACTTGACTCAACTCTGCAGCTGGACTCTGCTTTTGACTGAAGGTGTGGGTTTGGGAATACATGTCTTTGGCTTCCCTTCTCAGGTTGCATGCTAAGTACATGTCTCTTATGGTCATGTGCTTCTACTATAATATGTCATTGTTGATGCTGCAGGGAAGGGACAAATTCTTTATCTCTGCCAAACCTCAGCTGAGTTTCCTGGCTCTTTCATATTCAAATAAACTCAGAGTCTGTAAGAGGCACATCTTTTTTACAAAGTACAAATGGGTCAAAGTTTAGTGTTCCTGACTAGCTGGAAATGTGGACCACTACACTTGAAGGATTTCTTTTGACCTTGCCTGCAAAAACTATGAACTTGGCAAATAATGCAGAAGGGGAGAAAAGAGGTAAAAGAAAGCATTTTCTCCTATAGCATACCTTAAATGAATACTTTTAAGAGAAAGTCCTAACGGCTTAACTTTGGAGACAAGCCTCAATACCTTCAATACTCAAATAGCAGCAAGGAGGTGACTGAGACAAGCACTTGCAAAATGTGAGAAATTCTGCCACCAAAACATTCTAAGATGCTGAACCAATTGAACAATTCACATCAACTTTCTAGGAATGAGTTTTTTTATCTATTAAATGAAGATATTGAACTACTTGGTATGGATAATTACCTGCAAAAATCCAAAATACCCAAATTAACAAAATGAGAAATAAAGATTTTAAACAAGCCCATCAAAGAAAGATTGAACATACCACAAATAAACGATTGACCTTTGGCTTCTGAGAGTGCCAATGACCTCATTTTATGAATTATTTGCTAGTCATAATTAATAAATTTATTATTACCCAGAAAAAAAATGAGCCACCAAAGGGAAGGGGGAACTTGCTCTAGAGGGACTTATAAATGAACTTTATCAAATGTTTAACAAGCAATTAGAATCTAAGTGATAAAAATTATTCACAGTAATGGAGAAAGAAGGCACTTCACAAAATTCTTTTTAAAATGAGACAAATGTGGTCCTGATGCCCAAACCAGGGAGAGAGAAAGCAGAAAAAGAGAACCAGAGAGCAATTTTAGTAATGAATATTTATATAACAACTTTAAATAAAATATTAGCAACAAGGTTATATCTATATATTTATATCTGTATCTATCTATGTATGTATGTATATATATATATATATATATGTAAATTACTCCCTGTATCTAACTTGTATCTATACCAGGGATGCAACAATGGTTCAACAATTGAAAAACAAGATAATTAATCATATAAACAACAAAAACAACACAAAACAGTCCTGCAAATATATGAAAACATCTATCATATCCCCTCTCAAGAGATCATCTAGTCTTACCCTCTCATTTTACAATAAAGAAACTGAAGCTCCAAGAAGCTAAGTGACTGGTAAAAGATCATAAAGGACACAGGCACAAAACTGGGATTCAAACATAGACTTTCTGATTCCACATCCAGTGCTCTTTCTACTGTATCACATAGCCTTTTCTCACACACAGGTTGGTGTGATGTTTGAATGAAATAATGTATGTAAAAATGTCTTAGAAACTAGAAAGTAGCAGTAGTCACTGCAGCAATCATAGAATCATCTTCTGTGCTTTCTTGTTTGATTCCTTCATTTAGATGAAGTCATGCAAGGCTGTCCAATGATAGTACTCGATAAATGTGAACTTCCTTCCACTAACGATATCCGATATGTAGATGATAAAGACGTTGTTGCTGCTTTTCATCCACAATGTGCTCCTTTTGAAGTACACCTTTAGAAGTACAACATTCAAGAAGAAGACAGGGGCACAGACAGACTTTGCTAATCCCTATCAATTCTAGGTAGAATTAGAGTATGTATGGGTAGGGGGGAGGATGTTGGGATTTTGCAGTAAGTCAGGAGAATCAGGATGCAGATATGAGGGGCGACTATACTTCAGGAATGAGGGACAGCCAGTGAAAGTCATGGAGTTCAGAGATGGATCATGTGGGAGGAAGAGTAAGAAGGTCTGTGTTGCTGGATTAGATTATGTGGACAGCAGACAAGTGTATGAAGTGACAGGATGGGGCCAGTTGCAAAGGGCTTTAAAAACCAAACGGAAATTTAAATTTGATCCTAGAAATAATATGAAGCCATTAGAATTTATTGAGTAGGGATGATATGGTCAGATCTGAGTTTAAGGAAGATCACTTTGGCAGTTGGAGGATGGATGGAATGAAAAGAAACTTGAACTCTGTACCTTGGGCTGTGCTTGCTTTGTGAAGGAAAAAAAGTTATCAGTTACCCAACCCAGAACCTTTTCTAGGTCTAAGATGTTGACTCAACTAAGTTCACAGATCATTCTTTTCACAAAAAACAGATGCATTTATTGCCCAGGGAAGTAAGAATATAAGCTCTTTAAGAATAGAGATTGTTTCATTCTTTGTATTTGTATCCCTAGTTCTTAGTAGAGTGCCTGACACAAAGCAGGTACTTAATAAATGCTTGTTAATTGACTCACACAAGCGATTGGGGTACAACTCTATCATATACTCTGTCCTGCTATTTTCTCCAGGAGAATAAAAATTCTGAAGTTAATTTAAACCTTCTATCTATATTATTGCCTGAAATTGCCAATGGAGACTATTAGATTATCCTGAAGTTGAGAAGGGGTGGGACAGTTGGTTGAGCAGTCCTGATAACAGGAAATTACTCACCTATAAGGAATCATATCAACAATGTGCTTGCTGGTTTCAGTGTTCATGTGGATCTTGTTTGCAATGATAGTGAAGGAGACAATCTGGATTTAAGAAGGAAAAAAAAAAAGACAGAGATCAAGCATGATCATTTTAGGCCTGTGCTTGCTTACAACAAGGCAGGGGCTTAAAAGCTCTGGCAGAATGAACAACTGCAACATAAAGGGTCAGCAGCAAGATAAAGGGCCACTTAGAACAAAAAACTCAATTGAAAAAGCAAAGACACTATTCTGCCTGAACTCTTCAGCATTAGGGTCAGAATGAAAAGAGTCACCTTTTTGGACTCTGCCTACCTATGTGGTTAACAGGAATAACAAATGGCTTTGTACTTTTTCCTTTTCCAGCCCCCCAAACTCAGTGATCTGAGACATAAGCCAACTCGAGTTCTTAGGGCTTGTGAACTTGGAAGGGCACTTTAGCACATGGCCTCAGTACAAATAAGGTTTTTCATAGCTACTGATACTATTAAGAATCACAATCACAATTAACCTTTTATAGTCTAGAAAGTTTTGGGCCTACTGAATTAACTGTTTTTTCATATTTATTTCTCTCTAGAAACACTATTCCTTACTTCCAGAAGCTAGCTAACAGGAAAAGAATTGGGCAGCCTAATATCTGTTCTAGCTTATTTAAAGACCTCTCAAAGTAGAACTATAGAAAGAAGAAATCAATATCTAAGTTCTGTAGTACACATGAAATATTTGCTTACTTCCCCACCCATAGGCCTTTTTCCTAGCACTAGTTCCATAAATTAAATGCAAATCTGAGCAAGATCAGAGTTGGTTTGTGGCATACCAGAGATTGATGCTCTAATGATGGCAGTGCAACCAAGCAGAGCACCCTAAGTCTATGGATCAAATTTGATGAGTAGCTCTGGACCACTTCTTGATCAGAGTGAGCAGAATTCTGAGCTTTGTGGTTAAATGGGATTTGTCAAAGGACTAACAACATCTTGGAGTGATTCTCAGTGGTCATCTACTTTGATCCCAGATACTGTCTCAATAATTTACTGATTATTGTCATGTGCTACCTTAAGGCTTTATTTCAGGATGCATCTCAGATATCCCCTGAGAACAATTCAGCAGAAACAAGACATCAACTTTAGTGGTTCAGATTTGGAACAATAATACCTGCCATTCTCTGTAACTGGAATAATCTCTACCCAATTCGGCCTATTAAAATTCTGCCTTTCTTTGAAAATCCAGTTCATGCTTCCTCTATCAAGCCTTTGCCTGTTTTTCCAGTTTAGAGATGATTGTTCCTTCTTGGTCTTCCCATGTAACGTTGTACATCTCTTATGTATTCCCCATGCTCTCTTTTATATTATAACTGCATCAGAACTAAACACAATTTTAGAGCTGTGTAACTAGCAGAAAGTGTAAATGAGCTCTCTGAAAACAAAATAAAAATATTTTTAAAAGACAAAAACAGAGCCAGTCTTATCAAATGAGAAGAAAAGTATGTAAGTATTATTTAGAAGGATCCTATATGACTGTAGGAACAGTGTTTCACTTATCTTTGTGTTTTCCCAATTGTCTAGCACAGTGCCCCGCACATAGTAAGCATATAATAAACGTCTGTTGAACTGAATTGAATTCTTTGTACTTGCCTTCATCATTCTCAAATATATGGGGAAACATAAAAGGATTTCTGAGCCCCAGAACATTTGGGTCAGCCCTCATGGTGCTTTACATAGAATAAGCAACATTAAAATAACTCCAAGCCTATTAGTTTATTTGCCAAGAATCACATCTGGTTTTTCCAAGGAGATCGACTAAAAAACAGATGGAAAAAGAATAGCGCAGGTAGTTTCTGGCTTTGCCACTTGCTGGCTATGTAAACTTAGGCAAGTTGCTGGACCTCACCCTGCCTCAATTTCCTAATCTACATAACAGCGATATTACCTTCGTATTTACTTTACAGGGTATTACAAGGACCAAATGAGGTAACAGATGGGAAATCATCTGACAAAGTTAAAAGTACAAAACTATACAAAGGGAAGGCATTATTATAAATAATATCTTTAAAGTTTATCATAGTGTACATTTTTGTTTTCTTTTTAATCTTTTGAGCTTTCCTTTTTCTTTTCAAATAATATTTTATTTTTCCCAAGTACATGAAAAGACAATTCAATTTAAAAAAATTTTGAATTCCAAATTTTCCTCCTCCTTCACCCCCAATGCCCTCGCTGGGATGATAAGCAGTTTGATATAGGTCGTACATGTGCAATCATGCAAAACATTTCCATATTAGTCATGTTCTAAAAGAAGACATAGATGAAAAAATATATATACTAAAAAAAGGGAAAAATAGAATGTTTCAATCTGCATTCAGACTCTATCAGTTCTTTCTTTGGATATGTATAGCATTTTTCATCGTAAGTTCTTTGGAATTGTCTTGGATCATTATATTGCTGAGAATAGCTAAGTTGTAGTTCTTCATTGTATGATATTGCTGCTACTGTGTACAATGTTCTCCTGGTTCTGCTCTTTTCATTCTACTGGTTCATGTAAGTCTTTCCAAGTTTTTCTGAAATCATCCTGCTCATCATTTTGTTGTTGTTGTTGTTGTTGTTGCTTTTTGGTGAGGCAATGAGAGTAAAGTGACTTGCCCAGGGTCACACAACTAGTAAGTATCAAGTGTCTGATGCCAGATTTGAACTCAGGTCCTCCTTACTCCAAGGTTGGAGGTCTACCCACTGTACTCCTAGCTACCACCCTGCTCATCATTTCTTACAGCACAATAGTATTCCATTACAATCTTATACCACAACTTGTTCAGCCATTTCCCAATTGACAGCATCCTCTCAATTTCTAATTCTTTGCCACCATAAAAAAGGGCTACTATAAATATTTTTTGTACATATGGATCCATTTGCTTTTTTTTTATCTCTTTGGGATATAGATCTAGTTGTGGTATTGCTGTATCAAAGGGTCTGCACAGTTTTATAGCTCTTTGGGCATAGTTTCATATTGCTCTTGAGAATGAGTGGATCAGTTCATATCTCCACCAACAGTACATTAGCATCCCAATTTTCCCACAACCCCTCCAACAATTATCATTTTCCTTTTCTGTCATATTAGCCAATCTGATAGGTGTGAGGTGGTACCTCAGAGTTGTTTTAATTTGCATTTCTCTAATCAGTAATGATTTAGAGCAGTTTTTCATATGACTATAGATAGCTTTGATTTTTTCATCCAAAAACTGCCTGTTCACATCCTCTGACCATTTATCAAATGGGAAATGACTTGTATTCCTATAAATCTGACTCAGTTCTCTATATATTTGAGAAATGAGGTTTATCAAAGATAATTGCTATAAAAATTATTTCCCAGTTTTCTGCTTTCCTTCTCATTTTGGTTGCATTGGTTTTATTTGTGCAAAACCTTTTTAATGTAATATAATCAAAATTATCCATTTTGCATTTCATAATGTTCTCTATCTCTTGTTTGGTCATAAATTCTTCCCTTCCCTATAGATCTGACAGGTAAACTATTCCTTGCTCTTGTAATTTGCTTATGGTATCACCCTTTATGTCTAAATCATCTACTCATTTTGACCTTATCTAGGTATATGGTATGAGATGTTGGTCTATTCCTAGTTTTTGCCACACTTTTTTCCAGTCTTTCCAGCAGTTTTTGTCAAATAATGAGTTTTTGTCCCAAAGGTTGGGTCTTCAGGTTTATCAAACACTAGATTACTACGGTCATTTATGACTATATCTTGTGTACCTAATCTACTCCACTGATCTACCACTCTATTTCTTAGCCAGAGACTATTTTGATGGTTACCACTTGATAATACAGTTTGAAATCTGGTACAACTAGGCCAACTTCCTTCACATTTTTTTCATTGATTCCCTTGATATTCTTGACCTTCTGTTCTTCCAGATGAACTTTGTTATTATTTTTTCTAGCCTTGTAAATAATTTTTGGTAGTTTGATTAATACAGCACTGAATAAGTAAATTAATTTAGGTAGAATTATAATTTTATTATATTAGCTCATCCTACCCATGAACAGTTAATATTTTTCTAATTGTTTAGATCTGACTTTGTATGAAAAATGTTTTGTAATTGTGCTCATATAGTTCCTGGCTTTGTCTTGGCAGTCAGACTCCCAAGTATTTTATATTGTCTATAGTTATTTTAAATGGAATTTCTCTGTCTCTTGTTGCTGGACTTTATTGATAATATACAGAAGTGCTGATGATTTAGGTAGGTTTATTTTACATCCTGAAACTTTGCTAAAGTTGTTAATTATTTCAACTAGGTTTTTTAGTTGATTCTCTAAGTATACCATCATATCATTTGCAAAGAGTGATAGTTTTGTTTCTTCATTGCCTGTTCCAATTCCTTCAATTTCTTTTTCTTCTCTCACTGCTATAGCTAACACTTCTAGTATAATACTGAATAATTGGGGGTGAGAATGGGCATCCTCAATTCACCCCTGATCTTCCTGGCAAGGCTTCCAGTTTATCCCCGTTACCGATAATGCTTGCTAAGGGTTTTTGACTTTTCTTTTTTTTCTTTTTTCTTTTTTTATTTTTAACATGCGTTTTTAAAACTTTGGGTCACAAATTTTCTCCCTTCCTCCCTCCCCACCCACCCTCATTGAAAAGGCAAACATCTCAATACAGGTTATAGATGTGTAGTCATGTTGTGAAAAACTAAGTATATTTCCCTTCATCCTATCTTACCCCCCATTTATTCTATTCTCTCTTTTGACCCTGTCCCTCCTCAGAAGTGTTTGCTTTTGATTATCCCCTCCCCCAGTCTGCCCTCCCCTCTATCAACCCCCTGCTCTCTTGTCCTGTTCCCCCATTATTTTCCTGTAGGGTAAGATAGATTTCCATACCCCATTATGTATGTTATTCCCTCCTTAAGCCAAATCCTATGAGAATAAGATTCACTCATCCCCTCTCACCTTCCCCTATTTCCCCTCCACTGTAAAAAGCCTTTTCTTGTCTGTTTCATGTGAGATGTTTTACCTCATTCTACTTCTCTCTTTCTCCTCCCAGTATAATCCTCTCTCACCCCTTAATT